TTTGTAACCACCTTGTAGCTCGTTGGTTTGGTTCATGGCTTTTATAACTCTTTCATGAAGACTTTTTAAAAAATCCCTATTGAAAAAATACTTCTGGAACCAAGGCCGCTAAAGAACAAGAAGCCTTTTGTATTTTTTTACCGGTTCTTTGAAAGGACCATTCAAAAGTGTACGTTTCGGACTTTGCGTTGCATGACAGTTCAGAAAATCAGAAAAGGCGTGTAGGATTCCAATTGCTTATCAACTTTGATGGGTTGATCAATTTCTGATCCTCTAATTAAAAGGCATTGTAATTAAAATGGTTAAAGATCTGTTTGGACTAGTAACTGAAAGGTTGTAGGTTCAAACCCCTTAAAATCTTTAATTATCTCTATTGTGTCACCTGAAGTTGGTCATTTGGGGGTAAACATCTATTGGTTTGATCTTTTTGCCCAGTTCTGCAGCATTTAATTTGATAATCACCTGTGGGTGCAATTGAAGGCACAATTCCAGAACATGTGGACTCTGTTTTGAGTGGCTGCACTATATCACCATTTTCCCTCATTGCAATAATCAAACCATTTCTGATTTGTTTGTTTCTGTCAGCTTCAAGACGATAGTTTTCTTTCTCATGTCTCTAGCTTTAAATATGCAACTTCGCTGCATAACGAAAGCATAAAAGTGACCATGGAGCTGGATATAAACTTATACAAATAGATGGTAGAAATTGTGACATTAAACATTTGGATTGGAATTTCGTGTTTGTCACATTGTTTTAACCGTTTGAGGTAGGCTAATAATGTTAGCATCCTCTCAGTCTCGACAGAAAACAATGCTGTTCTCTACTAATGCAGAATTAAGTCAAGTCAAGAAATTAATTACTTTATAATAATATGAAAACATGTACGGTAGTGTATTGTATAGCATACCGTTTTATTGTCCGTTTTAAATCCGCATCTGAAGTGTGCAGCGTGCGGGACAAATAGGGTGCGTGTATATGGCTGGGTATCGATTCCGATGTCCCGTTTCGATTCCGATTCACAAGATCTCAATTCGATTTGATTCTCTATTTTCGATTTGTTATTGTTTTGTTGTTTGTGCAGCCGTGCAAGTTCTCTTCCGCTTCAATGCTTAAATTGGCAAGGCTTGAAAACGTGTGCAAATTATAAACTTTCGTGTCCATGCAGCACTGGTCTGGTCTGGACACTGACAGTGTCCTTCAACTGTCCAGAACGTCTTTCATGCTGAAAGTCAATCTTGCATCCACCATGTTCAGCACTGAATGAATGTCAGGGTCCCCGCTGTAACAACGGCACGCGGTATGTAAATAAGAGAATGACATCTAGTGGAGAAGACTAATAATAAGATTGACGTCAATCAGATATTATGTTTAATGTTTGCAGGAATACATATAGAAAAAATATTGTTTCATGGCTTTTGAGAATCGATATGGAATCGACCACATTTTAAAAAACGATGAATAAAAAAAAATCTATTTTTTTTGCCCAGCCCTAGTGTCAAAACAAACTCCATGAGGCTTCAGTGATAGTTTTTATTTCGCCTATGAAGGCCGCTCTTGTAATGACAGCAGCCCCATCTCTGCCACTCTAGCAAGGGACGCAACCAAAGACTGTAAAAAAATGGACGCAACCCAGAAAAACGATCAATATATTTTTGGTATGATTTGGTAGGCCTACCTCTAAGATGTTCCAGCATTTGACCTGAGTGAATATTTGTTTAGATGAGCATTTGGTTTTATGTTGTTGACACAAAATTGAACATCATCAAAGTTGTTTTGATATTTGATAGGTAACTTTATATGAATATATATTATGTTATCACAAGAGCCTTCATGGAAAAAGGCCACTTGGCTTGTCTCCCTCCATATTCATGTCTGATCTGTTTTTATGTCAGATTATCTTATATCAAGTTTGGTTCAGCAGCAACTCCAGGTGGCTCTAACAGATGGTGTGTAAAACATTGCATTATGGGGTCTGTAGTGTTATATTTGCTGAATGAAAGTCAGGTAACAAAACATCAGTATTGACATTTTTTATACATTGACTTTGTTCACTTGTGTACTGGCCGGAACATCATTGCATAATTGTGGCAAAACAGGTTTCTGATTTCACAATATTGCTTGGAATAAAATGCCAGGAAATGCTTAAACATGGGCGTTGCTGTCGTTAACATGTTTGTGCAGGCATTCAATCAAAACAATGTTTCGCTTTGTTAATTTATCTTAGAATTTAAATACATCCACTGGCTGAGAAAACGGGATTCAGGGAAGCATGTCGTGCTCGTCATTGATTTGAACTAGAAAGGTGACTTGCCTCATCAGAGAGAGTATGCCAGTGAATCCAAACAAATATGGTTAGAGCAGAGTAATTCAGTCTGAAACTGGTGTCATATTACTGCCTGATACGTGAAATGCGTGGCAAAAACTTTTTGCCTGCTCTATTTTCCACTAAGTGATTCAGGAATGAAGTCTGTGTCCCTTAAGAGAGTCAAACTATGCCTACGCTTTTCTTCTTCAGTGTTTTCATGTTAATTGAATTTGTCTGTCTAAGAATTTTCCCACACAGAGGTTCTTGTCACCATTCCTCTCTTTTTCTCTCTCATTGCAGGCTCCATCACTCCACCAAGAAGAGAAATGAAGCTCACGATTAAGTGAAATGATGCAAGTATCTCTAATTAGATTTTATAAGGCCTTGGATTATAGCATTGAGGCATATGACTATTACTTGTCATTGATTACTCATTTCCTAATGGTTAATGAATTGTTAATGAGAGGGAATTTGCATTTCTGTAATTTGGTTGAGTTGTTTTGTTTTGGAGTATGTAAAACTAGCCATGTGATATCGCACACATTTCATGCAAAGAGTTTGATGACACATTCTTCTAATTGTCTTTCTTAACATTTTCCAATGTAGCTTGATGGGGAGAGGCGTGCTAATTGCTTTTAATAAATCTCATAGACTTTAGAGCTGAACTGTACTGTATATCGGCACCAAATTTCTTATTGGCTGACATTTTATCGGTAACGGTACCGTTTATCGGTATTTTATCTTATCACAATATTGTGAATGTTTAGTATTGTGGTGTATAAATGTGCATGTTAATTTACCTTTGTCCTCAACCACAGCTAAACTAAAAAATATATCAATAATTTAATTACACTGTTAACTTTAATGTAATCTTTAGCAAATTTTTCATACTGTACATTTATAATGTTATGATGCTTCAATTTACTTGAAGCATTTAAAAACATTAAAATAATTATCGCCTTATCGGTGTCAGTAAGAACTGTTATAATGGTGCATCCCTAATAGACTTCCATTGAAGGTGGGACCCGAGTCATATATTTGTTAATATTTGCCAATAGCGACCATTTAAAACACTCCAGCAGTGTTGTTAACTAAAACTAACACTATTAAAAATATTTTTTCGTTAATTGAAATAAAGATGGAATTAAATAAAAAATAAATATTATTTTGAGAAAATTAAACTAAAAAAACTTGCATGAGAATTAAAAATGTTTCTTTAGCAACTGATTGTAATGTTGAAGTACTAAAATTACTAAACCTAAATAAATAGAAATGAAAACTACAGTAAATAGAAATATTAAGAAAAATGACAAAAGCAAATAACAAAATTACTAAAACTTAAAATAAAATGAAAATATGAAAACAAAAGCTAATTCAAATAACCTACTGTAACATTGTGATACTTACGTTTCAATAGGTACTAGTCACATTTTAATTATAAAATGTTCAAATCTATGTCATTTTGTTGGAAGCTTTGTAATAAAACAACAACAGAAATCATTTGAATTAAGCAGCATTGGAATGGGACTTTGGTGTATAGTGAGTCAACTAAACACTGTCACACTGTTTGAGCTTAAATGAACACTCCACCGTTTTTTGAAATAGGGCTTATTCACCATCTTTCCTACATTTAGATAGGTGGGCAAATGCATTTTTGTCTCAGTGCATGCATTGTTATAGTTTGGCAGCGCCACCGCTAGCTTAGCTTAGCATAATGAATGGAATCCTTTGTTGCCAGCTAGCATGTTGTGAGTAAAAGTGATAACCCCCCCCCCCCCCCCCCCCCCCAAATAAAAAAAAACGTATTACTTCTTGTGGCCTGCGTATTCACAACGAGTACAAATAACAATGCAGATTAAGACTAGGTGATTTCCTAGGACAGAGATATCACGCAACACCTGAAATCCCCCAACTTCAGTCAACATACCGGCGTGAATAGTAGCTGGCTATTTTTCCTACAGTAGACATAGTGAATGGCGAGGAACATGGCAGATTTTGTGAGAGACGAAGAGGGTGACTTTTAAGACAGTCAAGATCCAGAACTATACCTCCATGAACCAGAGTTTTCAGAAGAGGAGCTGCGTTCTTTGGAAATAGAATGACAACAGGAGGAGGTTGCGATCGCTCAACAGCCTGAGGATGTGAGGATGAGAGCCAACATGAACTGGTGGTGTGAATGTATGTCCTTTGCTTGTTCTCATAACCTTTTGCTATGCAGGCAATTACCATGTTTGCTGTAACTTCTCAAACTCAACACAATCCAAAAGTGAAGATACTCGGTGCAGGTCACGCCGGTATGTTGACGGAAGTTGGGGGATTTCAGTTGTTGAGTGATATCTCTGCGCCCAAGTAGCGCCTGTGCTTCACCCCAATATAGTCCCAAGTCAATATCTGCCTAGGAAATCGCTTAGTCTTAATCTGCATTGCTATTTGTACTCGCTGTGAATACGCAGGCCACAAGAAGTAATTAGTATTTTTTATTTTTATTTTTTTATCACTTTTACTCATGACATGGTAGCTGGCAACAAATGATTCCATTCATTACGCTAAGCTAAGCTAACGGCGGCGCTGCCAAACTAAAACAATGCATGCACTGAGACAAAAATGAGTTTGCCCACCTATCTAAATATGGGAAATACGGTGAATAAGCCCTATTAAAAAAAAACAAACAGTGGAGTGTTCCTTTAAAGATTTGACCATTCCAGCATGGAAGAAGATAGTGAGTCATATCCTTACTGAACCATTTTACAGATGTCCTCTCTTTCCCACAGGTTTTTGTTTATCACGCTTCAGCTTCTAGCGAATTTCATTACCATTTCACAAGGTGAGTCGTTGATGCATTTACTGTAACTACTTTGCTAAAATGATGCTTCCTGTTTTCATTCAAATTCTCGGTGTTATCCTGACCCGCTATCTAGGGTCTTCACATTGTTTTCCATTTCCCATTTGCTGTCGAGGCAAAGACCTACAAAACATGCTGGACACCCACCAGCTGTCAACAGTCCCTCTGTCCACCTCAGAGATGCATTAGTGGGGGTTATGCTTGAGCGCACAGAGTGCAGGAGGCTGATGAATGGATGGAGAGATAGGAAAAGACAGAGAGAGAGAGAGAGAGAGAGAGAGAGAGAGAGAGAGAGAGAGAGAGAGAGAGAGAGATTGAAAGTAAGGGCTGGAGGAGGGTGATGATTACACCCACATCATGAATCAGACTATAAACCTTTAACGCCCCCTCCCAGGGGCCTCACGTATAGACAGATGTACAGATGAGAAAGGGCCACAGGCCTTCAAAAACAGTAGTAGTGCAACTGGTAACTGAAGGTGAAGTGTATTGTCGTTTAATTTTGTTGTTTTCTGCTAAATTAATGAATGTAAATGGATAGGGATGCACGATATGTCAGTGCCATATTGATTATCGGATGATTTTGGAATTTTATTAGTTAATAACATAACATTATGCCACATGGAGGGCAAAACAAGGCTTTTCTCAATTTCCTGCATTTTTACCAGGTTTGTACCAAGTGCTAATGTAGTAAGACAGTGCTATTAAAAGACCAAATTCAGTATACACCTTATTAATGATGAATACTATGTACAGGCAGGGAAATAAATCCATAATATAAATGCAACGCACAGTTTCTTGTTAAGAATTTTCCATAGAAATCTTCATAAAGAAAACAGCTAACCTTTTAGAGCGTTGCGTTCATATTCGGGGCTCATCTGCTTGCTTGTATATAGAATGTACCATCAATAAGCTATACAAGATCTTTTTATATAACTGTATTAAGGCATTTTAAGTGCTTGAATATACTGTAATACATCATTAAGCGTTTTAGATCATCTGTATTAGGGAAATACTGCAGCAGGTGCTGAATATAATTCTCAAGACCAAAACTTGCAATTTGCAATAAACTTGTCCACATATTTGAGTTTTTCTTCATTTGAGTGGTGAGCTAAATATTTGTGGCTGAAAACAGATGGAAAATTGAGAGGCCTGTCTGTGCTGCAGTTCAGTTCTGTGCATGTTTTGCCCTCGAGGTCTCTTGAGCTGTTTACACCTGGCCACTTCATGCGTTTTCTGTGATCGTATAGCTATCCGATCGTGAAAAGACCAGACGTGTAGCCTGGTTAAAACCAGACCATTCTCAGTTGTAACTGAGTTATGGTCTGGCTAAGCGTCATAGACAAATCATTTCCAGAGGGGCGTCACCAACGGACGTCGCGGATAGACCTAAAACCAATCAGAGCGATGAAGGAGATGACGTATGCAGAGCGGCGGAGAAACATCTCCGAGTGTTGTTCTTTGCTCGGTTTTTTAACAAAAAGGAAACGTTCAAATCGCTTAAAACAGACGCGATAGCTGATTCGAACGAGTGATGTTCGACGGCGGCATCCATCTTTGTGATGTAGGCTACAAAATCTGCTTCAAAATCCCAGCGCTGTCGTCATCGCGTAAAGCCCGCCCCAACGTTTCTGATTGGTGCCTCGATTTCGGCGGATTGGAAATGAGCTTGAATGAGCTCTTTGCCAGACTAACTTTCAGAGCAAATCTAAATTTGCCGGAAGTTGTCTTGGTTTTCCCAGGCTACCAGACGTGCCCTCCGAAACGCATTTGAATCCGATCACTCAAACCACATCAGGAGGAGGTCTGGGCCGCATTCCAGACGAAAGTGTACGCATCTGGTTGTTGAAACCACATATGTAAATTTTACTCCTCCCAAAAATGCTAAAAAATAAACATGTGAGATCGTGTTATAGGCTATAGCATGTAATGTTATAGCTATGACGGCGCTACTGCAGCACGCATTACCGCAGATGAGAAGCTGAGCATCTATTCATCAAGCCAACGAGCAAACTATCGCAATTCAAAGTGAAAGTAAGTCGCAGAAGCTTAACGCACAATCATCATCATTAAAAGTAAAGAAACGAAACAATCTTACCACTGTTGCCGCTCTCTCTTATTGCGGTCTTTGGTTTTGATTTTAGCTGATGCCCAATAAAATGCAGCTCATATCTGTTGCATTCGGTGACGTGCACTCCATTAAATCTGCATATAGCGCGGGAATTGAAGATCGGGTTTATATCCGTTTTAAATTGTTAAAAAACACATGTATGTGACCAGGTGTAAATGGAATCGTTTTGATAAATCAGATCCGATCTGAGAAAACACATGAAGTGGCCAGGTGTAAACAGCCCCTTTGTTAGTCATGTGACTGAAAACTGAATAGCCTAACACACAGTAATTCAACTGATGGCATTATTTGGGCCGGGGATATCTGTTTTACCGACCAATGACAGATGGGGGAGTGTTCAGGAAACTTGTTTGAGAATAGTCATAATTTTTGTAGTTCTGTGTGGTGCAGAAAGTTAACACACTACATTTAATATATTAATCGTGCTATTTATTAAGACAAAAAGCTTGAAGATGTTAAGATTTTCTTAGAATACGTGTGAGTACACACACTCATGATAAAAAAAGACTCTTTGTCTGGAAATATATGATAGCTCGCTTATGTTGCAGTTCTACACAAGTTGTGTCGTCCTTGAGCAGCTTTCAGATGAATGTTCAATTCTGAGCACTTCTAAGAATTGAATCTGTCTATAGATAAGATGTTTTTTTCTTATAATTGGCATTGGTCTGCCGTTTGTTTGTTTTTCCCCACTGCTTGATTGTTCAATTTGAACAGTTTTGACTCACGTTGAGATCCTTGTGTTTCAGGTCTTGCTGCTCTGAGTCCTTCAGATGGCAGGGGTGGTGTTTATGAAGACCTGAAGTGGACGTCTCTGCTATGTTGTGAGCTGCCCTTTGCTCAGACAGTTGACAGTGGTCTTTCAGAACACCAACCTGCAGAACCGTGTCAGCTGCTAAATGCTACAAAACCGGAATCCTCTAGTAAATCACTCACCCTTTCTGGTAAATTCATCACGTCTGATATTACAGTCATTGTTTTTATTCATTTATAGCTATAATGTTTACACTGGCATTTTAGGAATACAGAAAGATTACATAAAAGTACAGGTTTTTTTGTCCATGTTTGCAAAAATGTTGGAGTAGCAATATTTGTTGATAGTCACAGCATTGTCGATCATCTGCGTTAATATGTAATTGTCTTTTATTGGTAATTTCATATGTAATTGTTCTTTTTATTGGAGAAGAGCTATAAAATTCAATTGATTTTTGTTTCACAATTAAATGTCTTTATCAGCGTTCTGTCAGCATAATGTAATATATGTTTGTTTGTTTACGTTTTGACGTCAGTACCAGAGAAAGGTTCAATACATTGAATTTCCTTTAAATGTTTTCTTGCTCTGTCAGGAAAGATAAAAACATTTTATAATAAGTTGATTTTAGATAGTTATCAGCATTTTGTTCTACAGACACTAACGTTCAAAAGTTTGGAGTGATTAAATCGTTTTTTTTTTTTTTAATAAATAAATAATTTTGTTCAACAAGGATGCATTAAATTGGTCAAAAGTGACAATAAAGACTTTCACAGTACATTGTTACAAAAAAATCTATTAAATGCTGTTCTTTTGAACTTTCTTTTCTTTAAAGAATCCTGAAAAAAGTATCATGGTTTCCTTCTAACATATTAGGCAGCACAACTGTTTTCTTAGATAATAATAAGAAATGTTTCTTGAGCACCAAATCAGTATGTTAGAATGATTTACTGTTTTTACTGTATTTTTCATCAAATAAATGTAGCCTGAGTGAGCAAGTGACTTCGAAATCTAAAATCTTACAACCCCGAACTTTTGAACGGTAGTGTTCAAAATAAATGATAGACAATATGTGAGTTAGTCTTGCCATTTTCATTTCTCAAAAAAGCTGTTTAGTTTATATTTGCATGATATGACCTTGTCCATTAAGTGAAGAAGTCTTAGCTACAGCTATGAACCAGAGAGACCCCTCCAGACAAGTAGATGGGTGCCAATACACATGCTAATCAATTCTCATTACTGTCTCTTCTGTGCAGTAGGCCTCAGGACAAAGTCTACAAATAAATGTTGATTTAAATGGAAATAAGTTAGTGTTTACAATCCTATTAAAGTGTGAAGTAACTTTTCAAAAATAGACAAGGAATCAATACAAATACTCAGATGTAGATGCTTATTTTTCATTAAAAAAAACTTTTCATAACATTTTAAAGCATTCATAAAACTCAGTTTAAAGAGAAAAATAATCCCCAGATACTTTTATTGGACTCCTGCAAAAGTGCAAGTATAAAACTCTTAACTAGACTATAAAAAATGTATATTTATTCATTTGATGTTTCAATGCACCGTGTTTATATCTTCCATGTTATTTGCACACCATTTAATGACCCTGTGTTCTGACATGAATAATTTGCAGATGTTCTTTCTAGAGGCTTCTAATTGCGATAGGCTGTGATGAAAGAAGCTAACAAGGGAATGCAATCTCTTTTCAGGAAACTGTTTGGACATCCAGTGCTGGCTTGAAGGTGAACGGACAAATTTGATTTGTAATGCAAAGAGCCACAGAGCAGCAGCCGCTGCCAGTCTGTTCACTGTTAGTCCTCAACAATTAGTGTGAGTCCTCTGTTTTCATTCTGCTCTCCACAGACTACTGATTGGCTGAATGGCTGCTGGTGTATTGGTGCTCCCACAAATTAAGCGTGTATGTGGGGAGATTATGCAGATGATGTATAATACATCTCTAGACTATACTATTAATGGTTTTTAATTTTCATTATCATTTAAATCATATTATTTATTTTTTCCCCTGTATAGATAATCTGACTTATTACTACTGATTATTTCCCCTGTGAAAAATATTATCCTGTTTTGATCCCAAACGTAGGACACCTATGATGAAGCAACTGTTATTTATGTTGTCTAAGAGTGCCTAGGAGTCTTATTGTAGTGTTGTGGGTACAAAATAAGCCTTAATGATTGTTTTCCTTTTTTGTTTTTCATTTTAGTCTACAGATGGATATACTTTCAGACAAAAACCATCCTGCTCAGTGTGCCGGGGAAGATACTGCCACGTGCTCAGTTTCTCTTCATGGCAATGATGCAACTGTCTCGTTGACCCTCAGTATATCTGTGAATGGGACTACTGCACTGTCACCGAAGATGCAAATCAGCACATATCATCTAAGTAAGAATTTCATTTTGATTTATAGTTATTTTAAGATTTTCTTTTAAAGTATCATCCATACATACTACATCCATACATACATACTACATCCATCTATCCATCCATACATATTTCCTTCTTTCCTATGCATGTTTACTTTGGAAGCTGTTAAGTTACTAGTACTGCTGAGTTTCCTTTTTGCAAAATGCACTGCAGATTCAGGTATTTCATATTTCTACATGTAGGTCTTAAATATGGTCTCATATCACAAACCTTTATTGGGGACAACTGCTAAATTCCTTTTATTTTATTTGATAACTCAAGTAGAAATGGGCAAACATTTCAATTTACATTTAATTATTATTGTAAGTGATTATTATTTATTTACTAACCAAAGTAAAATGTTATGGTAATCTGATATAAGTGATCATACAGTCAATCATTATTTTTTTAGTTGTGAAAATATTTTCTGAAATAAAATTAATCTTCACAGTCATCTGTAAATGCGTGATTATAGCCTAATTGTTACTATGAAACATATGTTAAAAGCATGAGTTCATGGAGACCAATGCCAGGGCAACAGGTGTTTTTTTAGGGTGTGTTTGTTCCTTGGGCCGTAGAATACACATCTCTCTCAAGTGGTTTTCCAGGCAGTGGATTGAAATGGAATTTCCCAATGGCATGGTTAAATGACTTAGAGGTCCAAACCTTTAATCAATCTCTTTTTTTTTGGTCTTTTAAAACATTTTTTTATTTATTTATTTAAATAAATTAAATCAATAAAGTATTAAAAGCGATTTTGCACTTGAACAAATATTGTCCTTTTGTCGAATATTCTCATAAGAGCAGTAACATCCTAAATGAACTTAAAGAGTTGTGAGAAAATGAGATGTCCATCAGATCCGCGTCATGTGCAGCAGTGGCAGATCTTAAAGTGACAGCAGCCTAATAAACCCTTTGCTGTGATGTCTGTCATTAATGTTAATCAAAGAACAAAGGTAACAGAAAATTCTAGCTTTAATAAGGATTAATCTATATTTAATTTATAATTTATGCAGTTAACACTGAAGTGTTACAACTCTGATGTTTTTAATCGCGATTAATTACAGAAAAAAATGTGTATACATGTATGAAAAATATATATACATATATGAACGGCTATATATAGACTGTAGCCTGTTCTTAGAACTTGCTTTAGATCTTCTTAGTGCCTTCACATTATATACAGTATAATACTTAAGTATTTAACAACAGAAAGTGCACAGTCCACTTCATGACACTGTTTTTCATTTTTAACACTGCAAAGCTGTTTGCTTTAAAGCATTCTATTGTATAAAGTGCTATATAAATAAACATAATGTGACTTGACTGGAGTATCGAATTGCAGAGCTGGTGCAAACATATCCGTATTGCTATGATCAGATGCTTTCTTAACTGCTTTTTTCTCACCGCTGTTATTTTTGTTGCATGTTTATTTTGTCATTCAGAGGAAAGCGTGCAGCACATATTTACATATTCATTTAACCGCTACTCTCAGCAGCGCGGATGGCGTCGGGATGTTATTTGAGCTCTTATTCAGTGTGTTTCCTGATTATTGGATTTTGGCATGGTTTATATTGCAAACAACATGACTCTTGTCAATCTTCTTAGTGCCTTTATTATAGTGGAAGCCAAAATGAGTCCACACTTCTGCTCTGTACTCTACGGTGGGAGCTGGTATAATTATTTTGTCTTCCGTTGGTGGCAACTATTGAGCTGGGTTTGCTAATGCTAACGTTAGCAGTGCATCCTTGTGCTTCTCCCTGTTACAGTTTATGTTCAGATTAGATATAACAACAATGGCATCTAGTGGTTGAGGTTCCACTGCCACGAAACTTGAATTTAAACAAATATATATATATCAATAGAGATTTTTAGGAATCGCCAAAAATAATATCGCAATATCGATATTTTCTTATACCCCTAAGCCAAAAATCTTGACCAGCAGCTGTCAAATTCCAGAAAGGAAAATAAAATAAACAAAACTATAAAAACATCACTTTCACTGAAATTTAAGTCGTTATTCACCGAAAGTCACATGGTCACCGTTTAATTTCCTTGTATGGATTTGACATTCTGCAAAATAACTGTGTTCCATGGAGCAAAGAAAGTACCAACATGAAGGCGAGTAAATGATGACAGAATTGTCTTTTATTTTGCTGAATTTCCCTTTGAAATAAAAAGAATTGAAATCTACGTAATGTGTCTTTGTTAAACAATCTTGTTGTACCTGTACAATAATAATACATTATGTCCAAAGTTTATTTTTTTGGGTGAACGATTCTTTAAGGTTCAATATCAAGAGAACAAGTTGTCCTGACATTTCTTTGAAGTACATTGGACGTGTGCTGGAAAGAAGTAAATGAGAAAAATCATTAAATGAATAAAAAGTCCAATCAATGTAAGCCTATTTGTATTAAATGCAACTGCAGAAGCCATTTACTTTATAATATGTTAGTGTCAGTGAGGCGGTGTTTTTAGAAGATAATGCCTGTTAATAAAGACTGCCTCAACTGATTGCTATTAATGGTATTGCCATTATTGAAATAAAGAAAATTGCTTTATAATAAAGAAACATGAGGCTGAGGCCATCTTGTTCTAGACAGACTTAAACGCTGTCTGCAGAACAAAATAATATTTGAATTTGAACAGCTACATGTATGTTTTTAAATAAACAATACTAGCAAAAGGAAAACCATGGATTTGTTCTTAGTTTTGCTCTCATACTCTCTTAAAGAAATTCAGAAGTTCACCCAAAAATGAACATTTGCTACTAAAAATCATCTTTAGTGTTCTACTGGATGGCCTGAGGTTTGAGTAAATTAACAGCAAAATTTCATTTTTGGGTGAACTACTCCTTAAATGTTGATCACATACTCTCTTGATGTCTCTTGATGGTTCACATTCGGCCAGGCTTTTGTAGAATGAATGAATTTTAATTGCACTTGGAATTGGTTTCCATTTGCTGAAGATGTTTTGCTGAAGATGATGCCAGTCTTCGAAAAATGGGGATTCCCCTTCGAAACTGTGGAGTGTAGCAATGTTAAACGGGTGATTTTTGCCTAATTAACACCCTCCACCACTTTTTCTCATAATGCAATGTGTGGATTCCCCACCCTCAGACAACGGTCGAAGACACTCTCAAAAACAAAATCTCATAAGGATGATTAAAAAATAAAATTATGATACATCATGAGACGGCGTTCTATCTTTAGGATGTCTAGACATAGAACGGTTGTTGGCCTTACAGGCTTTACTAGTTGTTGTTTTGAAGTAACATCAAGTCAATTATTCATCAGTATTACTTATATTTAATGGACATGATGGTTGATCACGATCACCCATAACAACTGTAAAAATAAAATGATATTTATATATAAAATAATTTATTTTCTTTGCAAATAATAACAATTTAATATATTGTGAATTTCTGCCTTTCACAGGAAGACCAGACCCACCTTTCAATCTGCATTACAATGTGACGAAAGAAGGCGAAGTCATTTTCAGATGGAGTGGCACACAACCTGACAGTGATGCCATAAACTATGAGATCCGATACTCTTCCAATTCCTCGCTTCAGCAGTGGGAGGTAATTGGACTCATTTGTTGGTCTAATGAATATGTTGTAATGGCATTACAAAGTAATGTTTGTGAGAACTATGTAAAAATATATATTACGCACCACGCATAATTTAAACGTTAGTTTTATTTATTTATTTATTTTTTAACTAAAATCATCATTTCATGTAATATGGCAAAGCAATTTGACCTTCACAGTGTGAATGGATCTGTATGAACTGTGGCTCTTTTAGGTGGTGAAGGTCAGAGGTTGTTCATGGGTACCTCTGAATGAGCTCAGTTCTGGGATCAGATACATAGTCCAAGTGCGCTGCCAAAACTACTTAAACTACTGGAGTGAATGGAGCCAACCTTTCTATTTCACACTAGATGGTAAGGATCTGTAGTACAGAAGAACTCTACATACTACTTCCCTTCATGCTGTATGTTTATACATTCGAGTAATAAATTCATTTAGGTCTGTAATCAAAGACCCCCTCCCTTTTAATGACTCATCAGGTATAGGCAATCAGTAAATGTATGCAAATACTGACATTTGTGAAAGAGTACTTAAAATTTCTGCCTGATATTCTCAACAACAGAGTGCACAGGTTGAGACATTTACCCTTACATTAGCGGCTTTTAGTGTACGTCAGACTTCATGCAAAAGTGCTTTTGCTTTTCCAGTTATATGTATCTTTCAGAGAGATCCATTGTCTTCTCTAAGCCTCCATGTTAAGAGTTTAATGTTTGATAATTACATTCATATCTACTCTTTGCTACTCTGAATCCGAATAGTACTTTGGCTTGTTGCATCTCTTTGGCATCTAATTCACTGTCAATTTTCAGAATTAATAACCATGGTAAACAATGTTCAATGTTTTATAAAAGCATTAATATGCCATTTTCTTAGCAAACTGAGGTCAGGCATTGCATTCGCCAAGGTATAGGGTATTTGCATACTTATTACTATTAAATCAGATGTACACTAGGGCTTGTGCATTATTGAAATGTACATATTTTAATCATGAAAACTCTCGAAATAGTTTTAGCATGTATTTGGTCTTGGCGGACTAGACCTGCTACATGTATGGACTTGCTACTGCTAATAGATACACAGACACACTGCTGTGAGCATGGAAGATAAGCTGCTGCATGAATAGACATACAAAACCACAGATCTAGGCAGGTGGAGCTATGGGAGGTGGAAGGTTTCAGTGGAACTGTTATAGGACTAGCCTGCAGCAAACACTGAACCAGACTATTTAAATGTTAAGCAAGCAATGTCATTGGCTGCAGCAGGATCAGCAGAGGCCAATCAGCTTGTGTCATGCGGTAATGATGTGATTGTAGATCGCATGTAAAGGATCTATCAGCTTGCGCCTCTAGAGTTTCATGACTGAACTAGATATATAAACCGAATTTAATGTCAAAATGGTGTTAACAGGGTTGGATGTGTGCATGTATGTCCCCAGTTTAAAATAGTTGCAATATACTTTTAATCATTCACTTGTCGCCAACTGGTTGCGTAACAAGAGTTTTAAGGAGCATAAAATGCATCTCAACTCCTGTGAGTTTTTGTAAAAGGTCAGAACATTGCTTAAACGTGTGCACACACACCTGTACACACAAGCACACCTTACCGTAGAATGACTCAGTATTATGAAATAAGCATTTCTTTGTAACCTGAATGAAGCAACTTGAGATGAACTGTTAAGATATAAACACACCCCCATGGTAGAATAGTTTTTAATTTTTCTGCTTAGCCAAATTCTGACACTAATCAGCTGGGTGTCTTATCTTGCTATTAAAATACCCACACCACATCAGTGCCCATAAATAATATTAGATTAGTTATATAACAATTGAGTGCTGTATCCAGTCATAGGTACTGCTGCCAACTAATGCTGCACTTAGAGCTGTCTGCATATTAGATAATGTTTCAACCGTTTCAGCTTGATTTAACCTCATGATACAGCCATGAAAGACTGGATTCTGTCTGTTTTCCTCCTTGGACACGTTTTTTTTTCTGATATGTCAGTTGGGTAAGGGTTGTGTATTTTCAGAATCCATGCTGTGCAAGTCACCATGGCAACTAAGCTTCAGGTTGTTGACTAGCATTACAATAAAACAGCTTTCTCATTTCTGCAAGGGACCAAGATGGGAAGGGGGGGAAATAAGAATCAATACAAGGCTGAATCTCGTAACACCTGTCAGGAACATGTCCAGTTTATTTTTCCATCTTAAAATCAAAAGAAACATTTCAATGAAGCCTGTATTTATAATGCATTATTAGGGAATTCTTAATGCATTATAATACATGCATAATGCCATACAAACAACCGTATAATATGACAGTTGTACAACAGTTACAATACATTTTAATACTTCCCTAATAGAGCACAATGCATTATAACACCAGATGAAGCCTGCATTTATAATGTATCATAAGAGTAAAAATTAAACCAGACATGTTTTTTTTTACTTATATGCCACATGTTTTCTAAAGTTTGGTTTATTTATGTGTGTAATGCTCAAAACACTCACTATCTGCTTTTTTCACACACTTTTTCTGCTCCTCAAAGTCAGTTACATCCCTGCTGAAGTCTTCACGACGCCCGGTTCAGAGGTAACGGTTTATGCCGTCTTCCACAACCGCAGCTGGAATGCGAGTCAGGCTGTGTGGATGCTAAACGGGCAACAGAAGATTCCGGAAAGCCAGTACAGGGTGATCAACGATCAGGTTAGCGCAGTCACTATGAAGGTAGATGAACCCGGGTTTGATGTTCTGATGTGCTGCCAGCCGTGGGGAGAGAGGTTCAAATGCAGCATCGCCTATGCCAAAATATACACAGAAGGTGGGCTATGAATTATGGAGGACATCTTTAACCAGACAGTTAATCCAATTTTACTTGTTTGAAAAGCTAGATAATTTAAAATGGGCTCTTTTCTTCAGGGAGGTTCAATGCGGATATTACCTGCGAGAGCAAGAATTCAATGGTGGACACCATGAGGTGTGAGTGGAATAAAAGTGTTTGGGCACAGGTCAGACTCCTTTACAGGTATGAACACATTCATAGCTCATCCGTTTTCTATTCCCGTCAGATTGTTTGCTGCACAGATGCTAAAGATCTTACATTTTTGTTATAGACAATATACCTCAATATGTGAAACCATAGCAAAGACGCAGGGCAGTGAAGAAGCTGAAGAAAACATGTCTTTGGTAAAGGAGTGCCCATCTGGAGCAGGAGACCACAGAGAATGCACTTTAAGCGACCTTAGCTTGTTCTTTTGCTACAAAATCTGGTTGGAAGTGGAAGGAGGGCGTGGCAAAGTGAGATCACTTCCTGTCTATGTTTTACCCATTGACTATGGTGAGTTCCAAAGATTTCCAGCAGCATTATGATCCAATCTCCAAAGTTATAAATATTCTGTTGGCTTTCAATGACAGACTGAATTGCTGTCTGACAAATGAAACTGGAAACTTTCACTGAAAATTAATTAGGTCAATATAATATTATATATTAGTTTTAATAAATTATAAGTGTATTTTGAAATGTAAATATTATCTATCTATCTATCTATCTATCTATCTATCTATCTATCTATCTATCTATCTATCTATCTATCTATCTATCTATCTATCTATCTATCTATCTATCTATCTATCTATCTATCTATCTATCTATCTATCTATCTATCTATCTATCTATCTATCTATCTGTCTGTCTGTCTGTCTGTCTGTCTGTCTGTCTGTCTGTCTGTCTGTCTGTCTGTCTGTCTGTCTGTCTGTCTGTCTGTCTGTCTGTCTGTCTGTCTGTCTGTCTGTCTGTCTGTCTGTCTGTCTGTCTGTCTGTCTGTCTGTCTGTCTGTCTGTCTGTCTGTCTGTCTGTCTGTCTGTCTGTCTGTCTGTCTGTCTGTCTGTCACGGCAAAGCTGGTTTTTGAGCATCTTTATTCCAGTGTTCAGTGTCACATGATCCTTCAGAAATCATTCTATTATACTGATTTGGTGATTCTGTAACATTTCTTCTTACACAGTTGAAAATGGTTGTGCTGCTTAATGCTTTTGTGGAAACCATCATGTGTTTTTTTCAGGATTCTTTGATGAATAGAAAGAACAGCATTTATTTAAAATATATACTAATATATATATATATATACTTTTTGTCTTTGCTGTCACTTTTAATTCGTTTAAGGCATCCTATTCTTGCCACTGTATTCACGTTTCAAACTGAGATGAATAACAATTTCCCTCTGTGTTTTTCAAAGTGAAACCATCTCCTCCCTCAGTCCTTGAAGCGATCACTTTGCCAAACAAAACCTTGAGCGTAAAGTGGAAACCTCCCCATTTACCTGCATACGACATGGAGTATGAGCTGCGCTTCGTGCCTTTGCGTGGGATGGCAAATGTGCAATGGGAGGTAGGAAGACGTTTTTGGAAGATGGAGTCTCAGGTGGACAATGAAACCAGACAGCTGAAGAAAATATATTTTAGCTAATGCTTCATGCATAGTGCTCCATCACAGGGGGAAGGCAATGAAGTACTGTGGTCTGATCTGTTTATCTGTAATTGAGATGTTTCGGATTGAAATGATTAGCTAAACTGATCCTAAATTAATAAATCAAAGTTAAACGTTCCTCTTCTTATGCCCACTAAATTCTTAGAATTTTATTTTCAAATTATCCTTTTTAGATTTCAAAAGGAAGATGGTTATGTTCTGTACTGACTGGGATAATGTCTTCAATTTTCTGTGGCATTTACAGGTCATCAGTTCTCTATTGGAACCACAGGCAGAGATTCCGCTTGAAGATTCCTGTGTTCAGTTTAAAGTAGAAGTTCGCTGTAAAAGACTGAATGGCTCTGGATACTGGAGTGACTGGAGCAGGAGTCACACTTCGATGGTTTACAACAGGAAAGGTAAAGTTATCAATATAGTTCTGCCACTATTATTTATGTTATACAGAAGCCTTAATTTTCTTCTAATCTCAACATAGCAACAGGTATTAATTGCTCACCATTTCTCTGGTCATTCGCAGACCATTTATCTGTCAAACATCATTCTATAACCATGCAGACATCCTTTGAGCTGGCTGGCAGTGAAATTACCCATATGTTCTTCAAAGTGACTATAGTGTCGACGATAGTGTCATACTCCTTCTCAAATGTCTGAACTAGTCTCGGGTCAAAGAAATAGCTTTTGTTACCTAAAGATCAAGAAAACTTTTTTTGTTATGTTGAGATCACAAGGAAATTAAGATTTAAGGAAAACAACTTTTGTTATGTGGAGATCACAAGAAAATTGTCAACATCTTGAAAAAACTTTTGTTGTCTGTTGTAGTCAATGTATGCTTTTTTCCTGTGAGATGCATTTTTTTTGCATAGTAAAATAATACCTTTAGTTGTAGTTTGCCTTTTTTTCCAAATAATTTTTTAGATAAATAATACCATAACCAAATTTAGTTTATTGTTCTTCCCTCATATGTAATATATTTTAAAAATATGAAACATTTTCTTTATATTTCCATGGTTTAATCGAACTTGTAGGGTCATTAAAAACAAATATCCCCTCGGACATCGCTTTTGGCCACTATTGTATAACAAAATATATATGGAATGGAAATTTGATTAATTTTTGTTGAAATCATTTGTGATGAAACCCACATTACTTTACCAATAGGCTATGTATGACAACAGCATAAAAGAAGACCAAACTGGAACTGGTGAAAAGAATGTGCAGCTGAAGGCTGCTAGCTCTAAGGCAAGATTTAAAAAGATGAAAACAATTAAAAAGATAAATCAGAAGAAAAATCATTCTTTCATTTTGGCCTTGGTAGCCCATGTGATTCTTAACTTATTCTGAACACACACCTGCTTTATAATAGCCATTTGTATGTACATGAGTCATGAGTACTTTTGTAATTTGTGAGAACTTCACATGAATGAAGTATGAGTGATGTTTACAAGGATGTATTCAGAGGGCTGATGACAATTTAGAATTTTATTTCATTGTTTTATTTAGTTGTCAGAAACCCTGAATATAAGTTACTCATTGGTTTAATTTGTTAGTGTGATTGTAATCATTTAAATGGCTCTGCATATATTAATTGGCTTTGTCTTCATATTGAGAATGTTTTGAACTGAACAGAGTTACGTTAGAAAATCCATTTGGGTTAATGGAAATTGCACCACACATTACCCACCTAAACTGCAATGCAACTGCTGAGGTGAAGATCAATATGTTCTTACAACACCATTTGTCAGCTCTTCACTGAACCTTTCTAAAATGGTGAAAAAACCTTTCTTTACGTTGGTGCAGAGGTGTGTGCTAGTGCCAGAACTCATGCTAAGACATTTTCAGAAGAAACTATTGGTAGCAGAGTGTCGTCAACATTTCAGGGTATAATCACAATCATTCTTGTCTGGTACAGTAAGTATGGGGTTGTAGGAATTTGCCACACCTTCTTTCTTAGATACAAGAATACTTAACTGGAGGTTTGTAGTCAGAAGGTATGCTAGTGACAGATAATAGAGAAATATTTCATATGATAAGCTTTCTAGTAAAATTACAAACAATGTGGCAGTCATAGCCTTGATGACAGCGCTCCGACATACAGTATGGTGAGAGCGATTCGTGGCTCGATCCCATTCCCCTCTCTCCTATCAAATTATTTCCTGTCTTTCTGGGCTTGTCCCTTCCAAATACTGTAAAGGCAAAAAGTCCAAAAAAGAACTTGCTTACTGAATGAAAAATGCTTACTGTGTAATTTTGAAAATGTAAAGATGTGTAATCCTTTTTTTGAAGGTTAATTTAAGTTTATTATGCTTATATTAATATTTATTGTATAATGTATAACATTTATTTAAGAACAATCCAACTACATGAAGGAACCAACAACTTCTTTTTAGGTTTGGGAAGGTGGTTAAATACGAGTTTTTTTTGTGACCATTTCTCATTTCCATTTTTTTCCACTGGTTTATAATTAAAAAAATTATTTGAAATTACATTTTTGAGTTATGCCTATGTACACTACAGTCCAAAAGTTTTGGGATCAGTACGACATAATATATTATGTTTTTTTATATATTATAATGTTGTTATATTAAATTGTTGTATATTTACTATATTCCTGTTTTTACTGTATTTTTGGTCAAATAAATGCATCTTTGGTTAGCATAAGAGACTTATTTAAAAAAAAAAAAAAACTTTTGATCCCAACCTATACCATTCCCCTCTAATTCATCCATAGTTTCCCCATCCCCTCTTTTCTTTTCTCAGTAATAAATAGAGCAAAAGATCAAAAATGAGACATGGTCTATTGAAAAGACCACACTCTATTTCAGCTTTAATATACCTTTTTGAACGTTAGATATAGTGTTCTGGAAATATTCATAACTGTATAGCCTTGTAATTTCAGCACCAGAAATGGGACCAGACTTCTGGCGCGTTCTACAAGAGGATCCTGTTAGGAATGTGACAAATGTCACACTGATCTTTAAGGTTGGTAAAGATTGACGTGATTGACTTTCTTTAGCAGCCAAATGATTGTGTTATAAAAAAAGTCTGCTGTGTTTGAGCCTGAATGTTTTTTTTTTTTTTTTTATTTTTTTTTTTTTAAGCAGCCTGTCCTAGCAGGAGATCCATATAGTTGTGTGGAGGATCTCGTGATTGAACACCAGGCCTCAGGTGGAGCCGTGTGGTCAAAAGAAACAACCTTGGCTCAGTTTCACTCGTTCCAGTGGAGGAAGGAAGTGCACACAGTCACTGTAATGTCTCGCAACGCTTTGGGCATCTCTACACGGAATAGCAACATGACGCTGTTACATCAACCCAAACGTGAGCTGACATGCTTCATACCCTTCCTATAACATCACACAAAAGTCTTTCATATTCAGTCTAATGCATTTCCTATGTTTGATGCACAAGGAGTTTTGTTTGCCTTCAAACTAAATATTTGTCTATGTATGTGCCTAATGATGGTGTTTTAATTCATCCGGCCCTAAATTTTCAAAGTACCTGTTTTGATAGAAGCTTAATGTTGTTTTGTTGGTGAAAGTGTTAATGGAGAAGAAGATTTGGATTAGTTATCACATATATACAATGAAAGATAATAGGATTCTCTGATATTTTGTTCCTGCTTGTTATTATGTTCCCGCACATAGAAATAAAAAAGTGTCCCCTATTATTTGAATTAATAATGTCCTTCTTTCCTTTTTTAGGACGATGTGTACGTTCGTTCAGCGCAGTTGCAAATGTGAGCTGTGTGCATCTCTCCTGGAGCCTGTTACCTGATCAGCCGGTGCCTCAGTCATTTGTCATCGAATGGTTAGACCTGAACAAAGACCCTAAACAGGACGGATCTCTAACTGAGAGGCTACAGTGGGTCAGAGTTCAGTCCGCATCGAGGGATCTCTCTCTTTGCCGTATGTTATTTTTGTTGATATTTTCAGGGTTCCCACGCTTCTTGAAAGTACGAATTTTAGACACATGAATGGGGGAAAAACATGGAGGCAGCCCTGCATGATGAACCAGTGAGAAGCGTGGAGCTAGGGATAGTTCACCCAAAAATGAAAATTTAGTGATAATTTACTCACTCTCAAGTTGTTCCAAACATTTATGTTTCTTTCTTCTGTTGAACACAAAAGAAGATATTTTGAAGAATGTTGGTAATCAAACAGTTGACAGTCGCCATTGACTTCCATAGTATGAAAAAAAATACAATGGAATTAAATGGCTTCCATCAACTGTCCGGTTACCAACATTCTTTAAAATATCTGTTGTGTTTCACAGAAGCAAGAAGTTGAAATGTTTTCAATAATGATTCATAAAAAAAGGAAAACAAACCAGTGTGAAATAAATGTTAAAAGCAGGAATAAGAAAGCTGCAAACTGCATCTTTCGGTCAAACTCGCTCTCTCTCGTACAGATTCTCCTCATTGATTTTTTAAAAAGGTCATATGACCTTTAAATTTGATTTTAGTTGTCAGAATATGCCTTAACATTACTGCAGTAATGATAGACACAGGTTCAGTGGGTTTTTGATACTGTCCAGATTGGTAGTAACAAATCCACCTTTATTGTCTTTATTGTGCTTGATATAAAATAAAAGATGCTGTAAAAAGTCCTTGAAAGTCCTCGAATCTGGTATTCATGAAAGAGTAAACCCTGTATTATAACATAACATTCACATTATTTCTACAGATTTTCATATCAAAACATGACACAAATAAAAAAGAGTTTATTCTTAGCAGTATAAATGATCTTTGACAGAATAATTTGTTTTTGTACAGGTCGTTTTTATGGCTCAGAGAAGTTCACATTGTATCCAGTGTTTGTGGATGGTGAGGGGGAGCCGGTTCGATACACAGGTGGGTTTTATAGCAGTGACAAACAATGCATTGACGTCATCATTTGATCAATTAACCAACTGAAGCCATTTTTTTACACACATTTGGTGTTTGGCAAGTGGTCCCTGGTTGACATACATTGTAGTATTATCTAAAATATACATTTATTGACTGACAACTGTGTTCACATTATACAAATAGCTGTCTGAAAAAATAAATAAAAAATGTTCATCTAAAGAAAATATATGAAAATCATATTGATTTAATTGTAAGTTGTTTTTTGTTTTGTCTTCCAGCTACTAGGGGCAACCCTGCAGCGTACATACTGCTATTGATCATTGCGTTCCTGTCAGTGGTGCTGTTTGTCACACTCATGATGTCACAAAACCAGTAAGACCTACAACTATCTTCTCATGCTCAAGATAAAGATAGCTACAGTATCACAGGTTTTGTCTGCGACCCCTAGAGTATCCAGTGAGATACTGCAGGGGTCTGCCAAATATATCTGATATACTGAGTTTGTGAAACGATTAAAATAATTTAGGGCTGTCGATTAGTTATAGAAAAATAACGCAAATACAATTATTTAACGCGTTTAAAGCACACGCCCCACCCCAGAACTATGTAGATCATCTTTCATACAGTTGATTGGTGATGAACATAAGAAGGAGGGCAAAAACTCACTGCTTGATTTAGCCTATATAATTCAGTTAGAATGCCCCTAAAATTCAAGATATCAGGGCAAAAATACTCCTGTATGAGTTTTTGCCTTATATTTATATAATATGATATAGTTAACCAATGTCACATGAGTAACAAGTGCAATATTACGAGTGTTGTTTTTGTGCCAAATAAGTGCAAATGTGATATTGTTTTTATACAACATTCCAATAAATAAGTTAATGTTGTTATATTTTAGACACAATTTTGTCTGTTTTTGCTCAATTTTGCCAATGAAAATATTACCTGTAAAGCCAGAACAGAACTATTGTGCGTCTCCGAGCAACACAGCGGTGTTTCCTTTCTGAATTAATCTGCGTTTTTGAGCTAATCAATCTGGTGAACCAATGACTCAATGGCCCATTTATAAAGAGAGACATTTACTTAGAAATGTTATTTACTTTACTAGAAATAGTTCACTTAAAAATGAAAATTCTGTCATCATTTACTCACCCTCAATTGTTTCAAACCTGTATGAGTTTCTTTCTTCTGCTGAACACAAAAGAAGATATTTTGAAGAAGGTCGATAACCAGACAGTTGATGTACTCCATTGACTTCCATAGTAGGAAAAAAAATACTGTGTAAGTCAATGGGGTACATCAACTGTCTGGTTACCGACATTCTTCAGCAGAAGAAAGAAATTCACACAGGTCTGAAACAACTTGAGGGTAAGTAAATGATGACATAATTTTCATTTGTAAGTGAACTATTCCTTTAATTCCTGAACGAATTGAATGAATGAATAACTCATTTAGACATTTACCGCCACCTACTGGCAGTTTAAATTTCTTATTTAGAGTATCACTTAATTAAAAAATATATATTTTGGGAATAGTTTCCCCAAAAATGAAAATTTTGTTTATTTACATTACTCACCCTCACGTCGTTTCAAACCTGTATGACCTTGTATGTCTTTCCTTTGCGGAACATACAAAAATATATTTTCAAGAGTGTTGGTAACCAAACTGTTTTGGTCTGTAAATTTATCTAAATACCAATTCAGATGCAGCCATGGCCGTTGTAGCCATAAGGTTTATGTTTAATAAATTTGACCTAATTAATTACATGATGTGCCAATTAATTAATCTAAAAAATGTAATCGCTGGACAGCCCTAAGATAATCATTAAATCAAAATATATTAACTTATAAATATTAAAAAGCTTAAAGATAAATGTTTTGTTCACATTAAAATTAATTTAAGGTTAAATTATAATGTGCAATAATTATAAATGACTCAATAATAAGTATTTAATTGCTTTGCAATGCAACTATCATGACAAAGTATGTACCGGTACTGTAAATGCATGCCATGTTATAGGGATGTCACGGTACCAAAATTCCAGTAGTCGGTACCGATACCATTAAAATGTTACGGTTCTCGGTACCAATTTCGGTACCACAGCAAAATCAGTTTGAACAATTTTTTTTTTTTTTTAATTTATTTAACTATTTGAAAAAAAATAGATATATATTCAATTCAATTCAATGACTTTATTATTTATGATGGTAAATGTATGAAAGGATTGAAGGCTACATGCTGTTTAAACGAAAATATTGATGATATTGAGAAATATTGCTTATAAAAAAAGTCAAGTGAAAAATAAGCAACCTTCTATGCACACATTATTATTATTAGTAGTAGTATCTTGAATTAATGGAGACGTAGTTAAATCTATTGTACAGTAGCCTAATATAATTATTTCTGTCAATTTCTTTAAGTTAAACCAAACTTTTATTTTGACGGGTTGCCGTGAAGACCTTTGAGTTTCTGTGCGTGTATGATATGACGATAGTTTTTCTCAAATGAAACGGTAAAATGCTCATGAAGTGACTCTCGGAGATGAACTGAATCATAAATCATGTCATCATATCGTGAGGCAGCAGAGACTGAAAACAGCGCGAGCGTCACTCGATCGTGCTTGTGTGTGTGTGTGTGTGTGTGTGTGAGGTAACGTTTAATGAAACCGCGCGTCTGCGCCGTTCATTCACACAGAGACAAGCAGAACATGAAGGGTTCATATTTAAATAGTCGTTTTGCAGTTTAATATACACAGACACCACATCAGCAGCGCCGCCGGTCGCCATGTCTCAGCGCTTTCATGAAGCGGACGCAACTTCACGCCCTTCGTGCATGCATGCGCGCGCATCCAGAACCGGGTTTGACTGGGTACTCGGTACCACCGGGACTTGGTACCGTGACGTTTAAATTTTTTTAGTACCGACTTGGTACCGAAGTACCGAATATTTTGACAACACTACCATGTTATTATAGCCTTGCTGCTCTATTCACCAATGGATGATGGATAAATAATACTAAAAAACTGGCCTGAAAGAAAAATCAGTCAAATCAGATTATAAAATCACAGTTTATATACCTAGGTTACCTGTATTCTAGCAGAACACATTCAAAAGATTTAATGTGTTTGTTGGAAGCTACAGTGTATATTGATTTTGTAAGACAAGTTTGAATTAAAGCGAGGCATTGTAAGCTGATTTTGTATGGGATTTTGTTTGGTTGTATTGAATGTCAGATTTACAATACACAACTGGGTTTACAGAGTGAATAAGGAATGTAATGTACATAAATTGCTGTCGTAGTCGTTCTTAGCAATGGTGTAGTTTGCTTGAGGGTAAATATTTCACAGATAATTACCAAAGTAACTGATACAATCATATTGCTTCTCATCTGTTTAGACTTGTTCCTCAAAGGATACTATCGTGACTATGTGTACCACAAAAAGGGCCATGCCTATTAAGCCCTTTAAGGAGTGGCAGAAGTGCTTATTTTCTTGTTTGAGTACAAAATATATTTTGTGCATATACACACACATACATTTACATTACAGTTTAAAAACATTTTCGGCGTGTAAAATTTTTAAATGTTTTCGGAAGAAGGATACATTTGATTGATCAAAAATTCAGTAATATAATAATCCTATAATCCATCATTTTACAGGATGAGAAAACTCATGTGGAAGGATGTTCCAAATCCCAACAACTGCTCCTGGGCCAAAGGAATGGACTTCAGGCAGGTCAGTGTGACCAACTGTCACATAAACAACAAATTAGCATCCAGTGACAGAAGATTAGACCATTTCAGGTTGAAATTTCTGCCTTTCTGTTAAGGGCTAAAGATATTATTATATTTTAAAATATACAAATTAGAGATGGATCTGAATGGATTAATTAAGCAGAGTACACAGTTGCTTTTTCATCACACAGAGAACCATTGTTTGTATTGGACCATTGTTTAATTAATAAATGAAAACACAAGCGATTTTTTTTATTTATTAAATTGACTACGGAATGTTACATACATATTTCAGGCATGTAATGTAAACATAACAGCCCCATTCAATTCAATTCAATTTTATTTAATTCTCTCCCCTCTCACTTCTAGCTTCTTGATTGTAATATTTGAAACTTGCTTTTTCTGTAAAAAAAAGCACTATACAAATAAATGTGAATTGAACCGAATTGAGTAGAAAATACAGATCCGTGTAAATTCTGAAAAATCACATCCCTGGTGTTTTTGTAAAAAATATGCTGCAGGTAAAGCTGATAGGAGAAACTTTTAACACATTCAAAATACAGTTATCACATTTCCACAACACTTCTGTTTCTTGCTCCTTGCAGATTGACACCATGGAGAACTTGTTCCCTCACCCAGAAGGTCTCACTGCCTGTCCGCTGCTGCTGGTCTCTGAGAGCATCTGTGAGGTGGAAATCGAGAAATCCCCTCCCCTCATGCTTGAACATGAAAAAGAAAATGAAGTTCTCATTTATAACTCTGGAGAACAGGAAACCACAGACTCCTCTGAACCTTTATCACTGGAGGCTTCCACTGCCGCTGCTACCCCAGAAACATCAGGCCAGTCCTCAGTGACATACTCGACCGTTCTCCTCTCCGATCAGCCTGCTCTCCTTCGAAAGCAGCAGGAGAGTCTGAGCAGCTCCAGCGACGAAGGCAACTTCTCTGCCAACAACTCAGACATTTCTGGCTCCTTCCCTGGAGGACTCTGGGACATGTGCTCGGACAGCACCAATCCTCGCCATTCCAGCTCCTACAACTCCGTGGAAGAGTTCTCGGAAACATCGGAACAAGATTATGAAGCATCGGAAAGCATTGGTGTAGCCAAAGACCTCTACTACCTCAAGATGAATGAGGAGGAGAAGCAGGAAGGAGAAGAGGATATTGAGGAAGCACAGGATGGACAGGATAGGATTGAGATAGTTATGAGGGTGGACGCCAGGCCTCTTCTGGAAGGCAAAAATTCCACAGCCGTCGATTCCAATAATGTATCTCATAGCATTCCACTTTATCTGCCTCAGTTTCGAACTGACTGCATTAATCCACCCTGAAATAATGAGAACAGCACCACCTGGTGGTAATGTGGGATAATTTTATTCCTCACTGGATGGAAGTCCTCAGTGGCTTTCCAACAGGGCTTTTTCTGATTGAATTTTTGACTTCTGTTTATAAAGTTTTATTATTTTTTTAAAGCTCCAGGCTGAACAATTTGAGGGGAAAAAATCGATTTACGAATTTTGTGATTATACAGTATGATTATAAAATACAGCATTACTATAAAATTATACATGTTATTATCATTTTTTATTAAGATTATTAGTATTACTAAAATAAAAATACTAAGCAAAATAAAAATATTACTATTGTAATATTTCACTGTAGAATAAAAATAATTTAAGAAAAAATATAATAATAATATTTTATTTTACAGTATAACAGTAAAATTACATTACTAATATGAATGGCTATCATTTTCACAAATTAAACCATCAACTACTGGGAAAACTGCAACAGAGCCCTTAAAGTGTCTCTTTTGTTGACAACAGCCAGCTTCTCGTTACAACTTTGGGAAGATGCTTTTACGCAAAGCATAATTAAGCAGATACAGAGCAAATGCAGAGATGAGTTTGTGTGGAGCAGTATTTACTGAAAGACACTGAAAACACCAGATCATGAGCTGTGTGTGTGTAAAAGAACACAGTGTGGCGCTTCACTCTGAAACATGCAGCGCATATATTTATTTAATTAAATCGCAGCCTTTTAGATATGATAATTGCACTAAGCCATATTGCGATTTTGGTTTTATTTCCATTAATCGTGCAGCCCGATTTTCTACCCCCAACCTGTATCCAACAATATCTACCCTCCATTCCATGTCCTAATTTCGTCTATCTTGAGTAAAACAACCAAAACATTGTCACGTTTCACCTCCTACCAACTGAGTGTTTTAGTTAGACTCTCTTTTATGATCGGTTTGACTCACCTCTAATATAATATACATTTGAAGGTTTACAGCCAGATTTCCCAAGCTCTGCTGATAAGGGCATCCAAGCACAGTTTAAACTCTGAATGTCTCTGATGGGTTGATGATCAGCCTGTCATTGCAGGAACTCGCTGCTTCCCACCTTCATCAACATGGAACATTTCAAAAGTGTTTGAAGGCTGAAGTAAAATCTTATAAAGACCACACTAACTGGAATGAAGTGCTATAGCAGAAAGAGACTGAAGAAGGAAGGACTCTCTCAGTGTGGTGGTCACAGTCGCAGTCACGCTTTAGTGGCTGTTTGTGCTTCATCAAGTCCAGCTTATAAGTGAAGAGACTTTTTAAGACGCGTCCATCTAAATATCAGCTTTGTGAAGAAATAGCTTCTCATGTCTGCTTTTACATTGGGCTTATTCATTCAATATGAATGTATATTTTGTCAGTGAGGTCTGTGTTCTTTGGAAACTCAAATATTTTGAGTCTACAAAATGTCCTCTATTTTCAGTGTATGGTCATTTTTGATGAAATGAGGGTTGAATGTAACTCAGTGAATAAAACTGGTTAAATACATGTCAATCAGTAAGAATGTGTGTACAGTACACATGTATTTCTTGTCTATTTTTATGGTCAGAATAAACTATTTATTGCAGTTATGGGCAAATGTTATTTGTTTACTTCTATTTAATTAGTTACAACATTTCTACATATTTTAAGAAATAAAGCTTGTATCCATCTATCTGTTTACATTAGCTATGCCTGCTGCCTTTAACATTGAATGTGTTTGCCTTGAGAAAACCATTAGATAAAATGATTGATTTCAAGACATAAATTTCATTTAAGAAAATAACATGAAAAATCCAAATAAAGAGGATCACTATTATAGTATTTCTACTATGCGAGTTTCTGCTTAACGTGCATGTAGCAAGATTTTCTGCCTGTTGTTGCGGAATGTTGACTTTTGTGAAAACAATGGAAAATAGTGAATGGGAATGCATCTCTGCACCTCAGTAAATTAATTTACTAAAAGGTAGGGTAGGCAATAAACACTTCTTGTTATTCTGGTTGATTCTCTCTTCACATCCTGATAGCAAACAATTATAGAAGTGGTCTAAAGCCATATCACCCTGCAGCCCAAGACTGGTTGTCTACTGAAGCTAAACAGGGTTGAGCCTGGTCAGTATCTGAATGGGAGACCTTTGCTGTTGGAAGAAGTGTTCGTGAGGGCACTCACCCTGTGGTCTGTGTGAGTTCTACGCCCCAGTATAGTGACAGGGACACTATACCGTAACAAGCACCGTCCTTCGGATTAGACGTTAAAACGAGGTCCTGACTCTCTGTGGTCATTAAAAATCCCATGGCACTTCTTGTGAAAGAGTAGGGATGTAACCCAGGTGTCCTGGGGGGGTTAACTCTGAGCTCGAGCCGAACCTTGGGTTTGATCCTCCTCCGAGGACGTTATAGTATCCTGGAGTAACCAGGTGTCGTTTGTGTATTACAAGTGTTGTGTTCTTATCTGGAAAGTTAGTTGAAGAAGATGTCCCATGTTGGAGGCTTGCTGAATCTGAAATCGCCCCCTAAACCCTCATTCCCTATTCCCATACTGTTTAGTGTTCACTTTAAGGAGTGAATGAAACCGAGTGAGCAAATTCAGATAGCCGTTGAGCGTACATCGGTTGTACACTTAATTGCAGTGCAATGTGGGATTGAATAAGTGCACTCAATAACGTCCACTATGGTTTCAGGCACCACTACAAATGGCTGTCCCTTCAAATAACGCCCTATTTGAGGGTATAGCTGGCAATTTGGAATTCAGCCATTTATGTCTGTTGCTGTAACTGCTGCAAAGTAAAGGGTTATCTTCAACTCAATTCATGTATTAGTCTTATTTATATTGAAGATAATACAGACAGCAAGCCAAGTTAATTTATTATTAACCTTTAAGGCTGAATGGGCAGGCGAACTCGTGAAATGTTATGTTCTTTGAGACATGAGGTATTAACGCCAGCTTTGCTGAATCTGCTCTGGGATCCGTTTCCCATACAACGTAACTCGCTGCTTAACTACCGTAGTATGATGCATTGTTCAAGAAATCAACTAGCAAGTCACGACTGTTTCCTGAAACCATATTGTCGCAAATTGGTCGTTCAACCAAGTTGGTTAATGATGTCATGCACGTGGTTCATGGAGTAATGACTTTTTTAAATGAATCTGTTTGAGATCTAATTAATGCTAAATGTTTTGCTTTAAATTATTAAGGACATGGCATCTAAGGACTATTTCTCATTTTTCTCAGTTGTTTTGCTTTATTTCCAGATTCAATCATCGTTCTTACGTACTAGAGCACGTTCGCACATGCGCACTGTTCAAAAACGACGTTTTAAATCTCTTGACAAACTAAAAGACGTAAATGACATTTGTATGTATTCTAAATAAAAGATATAGATTGTACTGAATGTCAGCTTACTTATTTGGCTCAGGAAAAGGATGTATTGACTCCACATGCCATGCAAACAAGAAATTATATGCTTCTAACCACAGGTCGAGAGCTGTCGTTCCAAACACACAACTTTGCCATGCTGTTTGCACTATGGTTTCGGGAAACACTGACTCGTTGAACTATGCTGATAATGACAGAACGTGCGCCCATAGTTGGCTAACTATGCTTTTGGGAAACGCACCCCTGGCTGATCTGCACGTTCATGTGTTTTGAAGGAGGCGTGGCTTTGGAGACGCTCTGAAGGGAGGGTGGGATTAAATGCTTTCAAAGCTAGCTTGCTATTGCTAGCCGCTCCCAAATTGCCTACCCTACCTTTAATTTACACGCGCTTCATCATATGCACGTTACAGCAAACGTGCCCATTCAATATGAGTGAAAAAGAGAAATATCGAATCCGTATATTTTCATTTAATTTATTTTTTGTAAATTTGTTCACTGATACAATTATTTAAGGGGAATTCTACATGTAAATGCACGTTTGTGTGTTAATTGTAACGTTTTTAAGTGTTTTGTTATCCATGTGTTGGCTAGTTAATCAATTGTCATTAATAAATAAAATATAAATAAACAAATTAAATTAAATATAATAGAATTATTATTCTAATTAAGCAAAATTCTCTTTTTAAAATCATTGGTCATGATGGAGAGAGTACCTCCCAAAAGCTGATGCTGATGCAAAAACTTTAGGCTTATATCTGCAGGACAAACCACACTACACAGCTGTAAGCCGTACTTGGTATATCCATATTGATTCGTAGCACTTGGTATATCCATATTGATTCGTAGCACTTGGTATATCCATGTTGATTCGTAGCACTTGGTATATCCATGTTGATTCGTAGCACTTGGTATATCCATGTTGATTTGGCTGCGTTGGTTTTCCTGTGAACAGAGAGAAATTTCACTGCTTCTAGGTGGCCAACAGATGGCACTGTAACACTGTTATTTGCCATCATACACCTGCCAGCGCATTACTCATGCAGATCAGTCCTTCTTGTATTATTGTGTGTGTGTGTGTGTGTGTGTGTGTGTGTATGTGCGTGCGCGTGTGTGCGTGCGCGTGTGTGTGTATGTATATGTATGTGTATGTGAACCATAAGCACAGATAATGAAAACCTTCTTTGGTTTATAACTGCATTAGAGCAGCAAATGTTTCTGACCAAGGGACCCCCACCTAAGACAGAACAATAACTTAAATAAGATGAACAAATATAAACAGTATAGATCACATTATCTATTTCAATATTGAATTTTTAAGTAAATTTCTAAATGCTGCATGGCAGCATATGACCTCCTGTAACTCCATGGATGATGCACAAGGAGCTGTTTACATGCTTCACATTGCTTTTTATGCAACAATTTATATGATTTATTGTAATGTCTTTAGCTTCCCCAAAATTAAAAGTGTCTATTTCCCAATCATATCTTTGAGACGGAAAACAGACTCAATCCAATAATGGTTTAATCAACAGGTCTGAGTGCACTCCTCATCTCTGATACTTCGACACCGCTCCGTAATCTACTTAAGACAGCTTTAAAGATATCATTAGAGACAGGTCAATTGGTCATGCACTCACTCATTCTTATATCCTGCTTATCCTGCTCAACTAACAGACACACCTGCTTTAAAGAATCTC